AGGACGCAGAGAACACCGTGCACAGTGACACGGAGCGTGAGCTCAGATCACACCCTTGCCTTCCGCAGCAATACTACCTGCTGGAGAAGCCCAAGCCGGTGATCAGGGCGGCCGTAGGTTATGCCATCATAAGTAATCCCAGGGTAAATCTTTTGGAAAAACAAATATGCAACCCAGAATCTCTCCTTTCTGCCAACGCACAGATTCGAGCTATTACATTTTTTTTTTTTAAGGCAGAGGTCCCTTTCCTGCTTTTCCAGAGGATCATATTGAAACAATTAAAAAAATGGACCACCTTTCACGATGGATCTTCCCAAATGCTCTGTCTGTTGTTCCCAGTTTATTCTTCGGAAGAATATTGGCTGAGCCTCTGCTACAAACCAGGCACTGGGGATATGGTGGCGATAAAAACAGACAAGTTCCCACCCGCCTGGAGCTGACATCTCCAGAGATGAGCAACTGTTTCACCCTGACAAAAATCTGGCTTCCCAATGCTTCTATTCCCGATCTTTATCCTAGGTTGCCATTTGTGTGTGTGTGTGTGTCAATCCAAAAACATAGACAAAGATGAAGGAAACTAAAGGAAACCAGGGAGTTGGGTCCTAATGCCAATGTCAGGAGCAGGACTGTGCAGTGTGGCCACGGAAAGAGGTGATCTTCAGACTCCAAATAACTTCCAACTTTCAGTTTAAGGTCAGGAATAAAAAAGACTTCCAGAAGGTACATGTACTCAGAAGTTTATTCCTTTAACACATCACATCTCCCTCTCTCTCCTTCCCTCCTTAAGGTCAGGAATAAAAAAGACTTCCAGAATGTACATGTACTCAGAAGTTTATTCCTTTAACACATCACATCTCCCTCTCTCTCCTTCCCTCCTCCTCTTCTCCCCTTCCCTCCTTTTCTGTCACACACACACACACACACACACACACACACACACACAGCTTCCACCCCACCGGGAAAAAAATACCTCAAAGATACACACACACACAAATATACAAACCATACAAAACTCCACAAATACACAAACTACACATGATAGGAAACTCAGGCATGCCCACGTAAAGGCATGCATTACATATTTTCAAGGACACACTGACACAAACATAACTATTACCTTCTCTCACCTATAACAGAATGGCCACAATTATGAGCAAAAGTACACATGTCAAAACACTTTCTCACACAGGCTGTGGTTCTCAGTCCAGCTGTCCCTGTAGCTGCTCTCCCCACTGCTTCTATAAGGTTCTGAAGATTATACAGTTGGTAGTCAACTTCATACACATGCCTGTAAACAAGAGGGCTCAGCTTTAAATAATTATGTCAAAGAAATGACAACTGTGCTCTTTGCCAGAACAGGGATGAATAATTACAAAGCCAGGACATAATTAAGCAATTCTGACTGTCGGATTCTTGAACTGTCTGATGTGGAGGGCTGGCGTGCCCGCCATGCATGCCCTCCTGGACAGGCTTCGTGCCCCTTTGATTTATGTTGCCTGATGTGGCAAGGGGGATCAGGTCTGGTCATCACAGAAGGCTTTCTTTGGGGGCCTCCCCCCTTCTCTGCATCCAGCTTGGTGCTCTCGGCATGGACAAGGGCATGACTCCATGGCCAAGATTTGCAAAAAAAGATACAGCTTTTCTTTAAAATTCCAGGAAATGAGCAAAGCCTAGTTGCTGTAGGTCCATTAACTAACAAGACAAACACACCAGCCTAGAAGAGTCCATTGTAGCATTAGCTATCACTTCCCTAATGAGTGATGGCATCTTTCTATAGGACAACCAGAGCTCAGACAGAAAGCAGCTTTTAAACAACAAAAGCCAAAAGGCAGCAACGAAGGGAAAATGTGTCATCACGAGAGAAGGCTAGCGCAAACTCGCACTCAAGCGCCAGGGCCTGCCAGGTATCAAATCAAACCTTTGTGACATAGGGGGTTTATTAGTGCCTGGATGATTTTGCTTTTGCGTCAGCCGAGAACACCCAGACTGCCTGTTCCCTACCTCCAAGGGAAGGGCTGTGATTGGAGAGGCATTTTCCATTCTCCCAAACACTTTATGTCAGGAATAAAATGAAAACTGCTCCCCAAATTACGGCCTCCTGGATCATCCATCAGAGCATTCTGCTGAATAAGCACAACAGGCCACTGCAGCCTAAGAAAGGACAGAAGCCAACTTGAGATTCCGATTCTGTGATGAAAAATAGGTCTTCACCAAGTGTGCTCAGCACAGCATCGGCAATTCACAGGGAGGAAATTGCTCTCCACTTAGAAGCCGACTCCGTGTGTACACAGACCTCCCACAACATACATATGTATACACACACAGAGATCGAGGGCATATATACACACCTGCACAGGAACAAACAGACGTCTGCACGCACCGTGAGCAGGTGAGAACCAGCCTTTTTAACACCAGTTTATTAACCAGTTTATTATCTCTCTCTGCAAGAAAAGTACCAATGCGTATGTCTGAGAACAGGCCGGGGGGGAGCAGCCCGGCATTGGAGAGAAGCATACAGTGTGATGTGAAAGCAGGGGCACAGAGAAGTAAGTCCTGTGCGTGTGAAGCACCAGGGCGTAAATACAGCACTTCACCGGGAGCCTGGGCCCCTGGGTTCTGATCCCAGCTCTGCCTCCACCAGACCATGGGGGCCTCCAGACACAACCTCCTCACTCGGTTCCTTCACCCATCAAACGACGGCACACACCAGGTGATTTCTGAAGTCCTCTCCAGTGTGGAAATCATGTGACTCTCCAAAAAGATAACAACTGAAGATCCCCATGCTTTGTCAGAGTATCTTTTGTCTTTCCTCAACTAATTAATGGGTATTTTTAAGCTTAACACCATTAGTAAAGATGTGGGAGTCAATCACACAAACATAAACTTATTCTATAATTGATTAGAAACTAATTTGGAGCTTTGAAAAGCATGTCTGCTCATGCTGCTCATGACTCAGAGAGACGGCTACTACTGGATTTTAAGGAGCCCTTCCCACTTGCTTTCAAAGGCCAGGCGGGATTTCAGTCCTGGCTGCCATCTCGACCCCAAGAGCGCAGTGCAGCTTTTACCTGTTTTCTTCCTTTAGGCCTTCTTAGGAGGCTTTTATTTGGAACAGAGAAATGCACAGGGAAAATGGGTGGCTCACTGGTTCCAGGGGTAAGATCCCAGTCGAAGGATGTGGCTTCTGTGGTCAAACACACCGGTCAAGCTCCAGTCCCAGCTCTTACTAACCGGGCTGCCCAATTAACTTAGCTGGGTTGCCCAATTAACACCTCTAGGCCTCAGTTACCCCACCTAGAGAGTCAGCCAATGCTCCCTTCCTCCTACATTTCAGGGGGTTGTGTGAGGACTCACAGATCTGAATACAAAGAGCTTTAGGGCAGTGGTGAGCACACATGTGGGTATTGTATTTAGTGCCCCTTCAGAGTTCCTGGGACAATGCAGAGCTTCCCTTGTCAAGAACAGGGGGAGCAGGAGAAATACCGATCTGTCCTAGAAAGGGCATGCGTACATGAAGGTGGAAAATGTTGAATGGGCAGGAACCCAAGATATTATAAACAGTTCATTTGTTGTCCTTTGTTTGGTGATGTCGGCTGCCTCTGGAATCTTTTAACCAAAAAAAAAAAAAAAAAAGGAGGCCAAGAAATAAATTATTTCATTTGGACAAAATTACAAAAGCTGGAATAACTAAAGGCAGTCACGAGCAATACATCAAATCTGTGCCTCTATAAGGAAAACTGTTAACACTTTAATAGCTATGAAACGAATCACTCAATTAATTTCCCACATGCTGAAACAGGTAACAATACATTTATCTGCCAGTATTATACCCTCTGTATCATATATTTCCACAACTGTTAGCAATTTTATTCAGCATAACGGGAAATAAGTTGCACCTCATGGATTCAGGGAAAGAAAATGGCCTGAGGCCGGCTGCCAGCCGAGCGACTTGATGGAAGAGGTTTCCTTTTTCTGTTTGGGTTCTGTTTGTTTTTTTCTCTTTTCCTCTTAATCATTTCCAATGCATGTGCAAGGCGCTCTAAGTCAATAAGCGAGGACAAACTAGACCTCCAAGATTTCTGGGCCAGTGTTTTCAACACACAAGCTGGGGTCCCACAGGAAGTGACTAGATAGCTCCACGGGGCCCTGGGGCAGTAATGCACCTTGAAAGGGGTCATCAAGGGCCATCTGGTCCATTCCTCAGCCTTGGGCTTCATGGAAGGACCCCAACTCCTCCCAAACATAATTTTTCACATCCTTAAAAATCTCTTTGAATCTGAATCCAAGACTCAAAGCCACATCTCCCCTGCCTCATCAATGCTGTCATTAAGATGACACCATATTCACTTCCACGGCCTCGACGCAGACTCAGCTGATAAAGGAAAGGTCAGTAAAACTATTCCCATGAGCTCTAGAGAGCTGCATGTAGGGAAAATATGCTAGTGCCAGGTCATATTGTCAGAAAAAAAATGGCCTTTCCTGCTAATAATATCTCCAAGAGCTATTGAGCCCTCATACCTATGAACAGAAGAAAATCACTCGCCCCTACCTTCACTATGGCCCCAAGACAGGAGAGCTCCCTCCGGGTCACTAGAGGAATCCTACCCATCTGAGGAAAAGTAAATGCCCCAAGCTTTCTTCTTTCTCTGCAACAGAACTGCAGAGGCCCCACCTTGTAAACGAAACATCTTCAAGAAGGAGACCTGAAATCTGCCCCCCAGAACATCACCATTGGGCTGCGTATGGTGCTGCTTTATTGGTAAAAGAGCCACCTGGGTGAAATCACCTTACAAATAAAGTCCCCTTAGCTGGATCACAGGAAGATCCAATTTATTGTAGAAGTCCTACTTCTTGATGGGCCAACAGTATATCCATGGATAAAACCCTGATTGGAGATCTCTCCTGCATTCCAAACACAGAAGAACAACTTCTGTGCTCAAAGAATAACCAGTGAGGCAAGACATAAATCCCTTGTGAAGACCAGAAAGTAGGCAGCTTACCTTGGGCTTCACCACCTTCATGAACGACCCTCTGAGCAAAGCTTCCTCTCGTTCTTGTCTGGTTACTTTCCGGGCATCCAGAAACTTCAAATTGGGCAGCTTGTGCAGAACAAAACATCTGAAAGAAAACAGTCAGAGACAATGCAGGAGGGTAGGTGATGGCCTCAAAGATCCATGCAATTTATCTCATGCTCAGGGATCTACATCATTAGGTCTTCAGAAGTTTAGACCTTGGTGCTGCTTCTCTTTTCTTTCACAAATAATGAATGATCACTCTTTGCAGAAATCCAAATAATTATATTTTATACACACAACTAATCCTTAAAAATGTACACTAATGATTGCTCTTGATTCAAATGTAGCCACACACACACACACACACACACACACACACGAATGCACACACCCAATGAGCCAGGAAGATCCTATCAATGTATATCCCCCCACCCCTCCACTCTAGAAATGGGCCTGGCTGCTTTGCTACACAGAAAGTTCTCAGGGAAACTCACCTATAACCTAATTGTACTATTATGTCACTGCCATTCCCATGAGTCATCTATGTAACTCTCATTTCTGAGATAAAAGCAAATCTTTGGGAGCCTGGCTGGCTCAGGCAGTAGAACATGTGACTCTTGATTTCAGGGTTGTGAGTTCAAGCCCCACAATCGGTGAAGGGATTACTTAAAAATAAAATCTTTAAAACAAAACAAAACAAATCTTCAATTTGAAACTAAGACAAGAAACATTGACTGGCCATCCAGGACAATAAACTAGAGGTTGTAATAACATGGATGACTTTGGGATAGAAGTAAGGAGGACACATAACTGAGAAATGCTTCCTTGAAGAACTGAACAGGGGTCTTGAGGATTTTCCTCATCATCCCTGAGTTACTTCCACACTGGCACTGAGAAGATTATTTTTACTGAGGTGAAACAAGAAGAATCAGTTTATAGGGGATATTAATTTAATAGCCCAACAAATACTAATACAGATTCCCCCAGAAAGAGTCTTTGGTGTCCATCATGGCCTCCAAGGATAAGCTAATGGCTACTTGTGTGATGAACTGTCCTCAGGCAGGTATATTTGGAATTGATGAGAAGATCCATGTGGTCATGGGATAGGTACATAAACATACAAGTAAATACATAAAGGGTACAGACCCCTGCCTATACTTTTTCCTCAGGGACGGTTACCAACCCAGATGCTTTCCATCGAGCCCCCATACTTGATCATTCAAAGGAGCTATTGTTTAGACCTGTCCTGCTTAGGAAGAAGAGGTAAGTATCCAATGTCAAGAGCAATAGATTATCTCCACAGGAATCTGTCATTTCCTTCCTGTATTCAGCCTCTTCAGTATTCACTCATCTTTCAAATCCCAACCCACATGAACTTTTCTTCTGCATCTCCAGACCACATTGTTTTCTCCCCTCTCTGCACTCCCAGGATATACTGTGAACACCACACCATATAACATTTGGTTGTTTTTTAATCATTTTATTGGTGTTCAGTTGATGTCCTCACCTATAAGCTTCTTAAAGGCAGGGACGTTATTTTTCTCACCCTCATATTGTCTCAAAAAGTAGCTTTAGAATGGACTAAAAAAAAATACCAGTTTATTTCAGTTGTATGAATATTTCTTGAGTACCTACCATGTGCCAGGCCCTAGGTACATAAAGGTGATTATAACATGATTTCTACTCGTAAAGGGGTTCTCAGTATAATGGGGAAGATAGACTCATACAGAAAAATTAGAAATCCACACAGCTAAGTGCTGAGATTGGGGTTATGTGCAAACTAATTCTGGGGAGCACAAAGAAAGGGACCTAACATTACTCACTGAATGACTGAAAACCAATGGCTGGAGGAGAAAGAGGAGAAACAAGAAATCAAAAGTGATCTTCAAAGAACCAAACTCTAAAGCAATCTTAAGCACTGAGCTTTTTCTCAGTGCAAATGTTACCTGGGGTGTACAGCATGCCCCTCTCCTCACGGGAGCATTGGGTTCCCAAGGCCAGCTCCCACCTTCATAAGATGGTCTCACATCACCAGGTGGCCTCCATATACTTGCCCAAAGATTTGGCTGATCATTGAAATGCCAGAGAAAACAGCATAGAGGCTTCTAGTTGAAATACTCCTTAAAGTGAAAATACTCTGAGTTCTTTTGAGGTATACTTTTCTTCCCCAGAAGTGGCCACCCCAACATCTGAGGTCCTGAAAATTTGACTATCTACTTCCAGCTTCCTCCCTGGTCTCAATCTATAATCATCTTTCCAACTTCTCCCTGAGCCTCTCCCTTGCCTTTCCAAATGCCCTCTAAACTTATCCAAAATCAGAAAGTTTCATGAAGCCTCAAATGAACTTCTATCCTCCAGCAGAACTCCCACTGGCCTCAGTCAGTGTCAGAGAAAACTTCCATCTTCTGCGTATAGCAGCAAAGTCTTGATGACAACAGATTCTTTCAAATAAAGACATCTACAGACGGAAACAATATGTCAGGAGTGACGCTCAGAGGAGTAAAGACACCCACTAAGTGTAGGGTGGGAAAAGATGAATATTCAGGTGAAGAAAACATCAGTATTAGAAAATCAGCCAATGTTTAATGATGGAATGAAAGATGTCTTCACGGGGCTGGCAGGAACCACGATGACAACAGACAGCACATTGTCATTTTGCCCCACTTTGGATCACAGCCCTGAAATCAAAGGAGAGAGAGAGAGGTGCTGGCTTTTAAGCTAGTTAAAAATTTTAGATGACAAAGAGCTGCTGTTTTCAGAGCACTCATCTTAAACAATCGAAGAAACAGCCCATGAAATAGGCTGCCAGTCATCCCTGAAACTAGGGCTGTCTTGACTCCCATCCTGATGGGCTGGCCTGGGGTTTCTAGGTGGTAGGTGCTTGGAGAGGTCTGCGGGACACTAGGAAGGCTTGCCCCCAAAAAATTCAGCCTGAGACTCAGCCCAGGTTCCAAAGTTCCTCCCTTAGAGATGGCTTCATATATTCACTCACACAACCAATAATTAGCGAGCTGCTACCACCTGTCACAAACCGTGCCAGGTGCAGAGAATAAGGTGAGGTGTGAAACAGACAAGGCCCCTGCTCTCAAGCAGCTTATATTCCAGCCCAGTCACTCTCAAACTTAAGAGGGCATCAGCATCCCCTGGATGGCTTATTGAAACACAGATCACAGGACCCCAACCCCAGAATTTCTGATCCGCTAGGGCCTGGAGTGTCCATTTCCAGTAAGTTCTTGGGGTGGCTCATGCCACGGATCATGCGCAAACCACTGTCCAAGTGAAAATAACACCACAATGCATAATAGTTTTGGAATTATGAGGTTGGTGAGGTGGTGAAGAATCTCCCTCCCAATTCTGCTCATGGTCTGCCCTACCCCAATGTCTGTGGTACACAGCGCTCCAAAGGCGGCCACATCCACCTGATCTCCCTGCCCCTGGGTGGTTTGGAACTAGCTCCAAACATTATTGCCAAGTGGTAAGTCAGTGGGCTTTCTGCCTGCCTGTCCCATCCCAGTCTTGAGAGATCTATTTCCCTTTGTTCTAGGTCATGTCAGGGTGTCAAAAGCTGCAGCTTCAATCCTGAGTATAATACAAGTTTGCCATAAAAATACAACCGAGGATTCCCGAAGCCACAGAATGAAGGCTTTTACAATATCAATTCGACCCTTGTAAATTTAATCCAGGGTTATTTGTTGCACCAAAATCTCTTTACCGTGATGTATTACTTAGTTACTGGGGTTATCACAGCCGTATCCTAAAGTTGCATAGTACATAAAACATTTCAGTTAACAATGCGGGAAGGTTAACTCCCCCAGATAACCTGCAATCACAAGGGCTAGTCCAGATGACATGCCTCTGTCAGCTTCCACGAGCTATTGATGGTTCAATCAGTTTGTTTTGAAGGTAAAGTACAACAAAAGGGCAGTAAACTTATTCAGACTGTCAACAGGGGCTATCGGGAATGGGGCTTGCAGGTAAGTAATTCTGGGTGTTTTAAGGCTATTATCAAACAGCAATGGTTGAAGGAAGAGACAGCTACTAATAACACAGAAGGCAGCCATCATAAACCACTTTATGGCAGAAACCCCCGTCTATAAATCCTGCGACACCCGGAGACAGCTTCAGATTTATAAAACTGCTTGTTAAGCCAGGGCACTGCTTAATGAAAAGAGATCGGTCTAAGTTCTGAGTCTTATGTCCCTAGCTCCAGAGGGCAACTCCAATTTTCCTGACCTTCCCAAGGTGGCTGGGCGAAAGCCCTGGGGCTGGGGGTGGGGAGTCAGGGGCACTCTCTCGGCTGTGATGTGGAAGGTGAGGTTATCAAGAAGAAATCAGGGATCCTGGGAAGGTGTGTAAAGACCCATTTGTTTCTGTCTGAAAGCAAATTCTCGAAAAATGAGACCCACACACAGAGCTTTTCAAGTTCTCTCTCTTCATATTCAATGCTCTGTTTTCTTACAGGACTCCTCTAAGGAGACACCTAACACTGGCAGGGGGAGGAAAGGAAGAGCAGAAAGCCTTTTTTGTTTGTTTGTTTTTTGCTCCCAAATCAATTTTCTCTGCCCGAATCCTAAAGCTCTGGCATTTTTCATCTAGACTTCAAAGGGAGAGGAGGATGCTCTTTCCTCCTGCTCAAACTGCTACCCCGGGGGGGGCTGGCTGCTCCCCAGTAATGCTGCACAATCACAGAAACACCAAGATGGCTCTCCATTGTCTGCTCTTGGGGTTGGTTACCATGTCTCCTTCTCTGAGGAGACTCTGCTAAAGAAATACCAGTTTCCAGATCCTAAGGGAATCAGGATGCAAGGTCACCTGGAGTTTTCTCCTACCTCTTCCCGTTTATGGCAGTACAGAATGCCCATCCTCCCCATGAGCTCTTTCTGACTTACTGCTCCCGTGCATGGAGGTGGTGGGGAGACACGGTGCGAGCTACTGATGCTCTACCAGGGGCCCCTGAAGTCAGCAGCGGGTGACCCAGGAATTGTTCTCAATCTTTCACAAAGCCTAACAGAATAGAGTGAGCACGCCAACAAAACATCAAGCTTCTCTGCTTTTGACTGGATTACATAAACCCCATTTGGTAACACTGGTTACCTCATGCTCATCAAAAGCACTCATCAATGGCGAAATGTGTCTGACTAATTTTAAAAAGTTAGCAATGGCTTAAATGTAGCTTATTAAAGAAACTAAAGCTTATTAAAGAGATGAGAGGGGCAGAAAATTAAACAGAGGAGAGGTCTTCATAACAAAAAGCTTGGGGACTGGGCACCTGGGTGGCTCAGTTGGTTAAGCGACTGCCTTCGGCTCAGGTCATGATCCTGGAGTCCCGGGATCGAGTCCCGCATCGGGCTCCCTGCTTGG